TATTATTAAAAAAATGTTTTTCCATCTCTTGTAGTTTCGATGATGTTAGCTTCGAGAGATTGAAAGAAGTAAAAATTAACACAAAATAGTTTATAATATTTTATACAATTCTAATTTTATTTTACCTGGAGGTGTATTAGGCGGTTTATCATAAGCAAATTTGTATAGTTTATATGCCACAAGAAGCATAAGTATCACGATTAAGAATGGTGATATGATTTGAACAGAGCAAACAATAGATATCAATTGCGCTTCAAAATTTCGCTTCAAAATTTCGCTTCTCGAAACGAACGAAATTTTATAAATCTCATCAGTTTGCGTAATCCTCATGATGACAAGTGGATACAGAGATATGAATTGCTATAAAGAGAGATAAAAATATAATCTGGCGCCCCTCACAATTTAATGTTTTCCCTCCAACACCAAGTACTATTATGCAATTTAAGAATTTGATAAATCCATAAAATCATAAACCAAATTCCTAAGGTAATCTTCTCGAGATTGCAATTAAAATAAGACGTAATTATTCGTAATTAGAAAATAACATTTTCACTTTGGCTAAGGCGTATTTTTTGACCTTTGATCCTGTTTATGCTAAAAAATAGAAATAATGACTGTTTAATTAAAAAAAAAAAATGAATATATATATAATTAATCCTGACACAGTATAACAAGAATGATTAAAGGAAGATAAATCTAACATGATGGTTTGTATAAACGTCAATGAACTAAATGCTTTATAATCGTTCCGAAAAACAAGTTTGATTAACCTAAAATGTATAATTAGTTTTTGAAAAATATTTGATTTATCTAAAAACAAATAGGCTGAAACCATAGAATACAGACATAAAGAGATAGATCCAGATTAATATTATGTACAGTAATAATAAAAAAAAGTAACATTTCACTGAAAAAAGAATCCGCTATTTCTGTTTTTCAGAAGTACTTCTCACGTGCATCTTTTAAATTATTTTATCGACCGTATTCACTAAACAATCGGTCAATTGGAATTTACAAATAGATCGACTATTTTACTTTCCATTCTTCAAATTTAAAAGAAAATCTATCGAGTTTTCTAAGCTACATGAGGAGAATTGTTCTCTCTCTCTCTCTCTCTCTCTCTCTTTTTTCTCTCTCTCTCTCTCTCTCTCTCTCTCTCTCTATCCTCTATTTATAATTCCTTTAGCTATTACACAATAATTATTCAACAATTTATTTTATTATTAGTCACAAATTATATCATCAATCCATCAATCAAAAAGTTGCATGCGTAATCTCGTAGATACGATTCTTTTGCAATCATATATATATATATATATATCTTAAAGAACAAATAATTAAAATAAATGTATTCTAACAAAAAATGTTTGCTTTACAAATGATTGTATATTAATATTTTTACATCACAAATAAAATATCTAAGTACCTAATAAGTTTCACTTTTATCTCTGCACTACAGAGGTTTACACGAGAATATATTTCTATCAGCGTATTTTTTCACACACATTATATAAAATACACTGTATATACAAATACGCGCGACTGTCGCATGCATTTCGTAAATTATTCGAAATATTTGATATCACCACCCTGACATATGACCGGCAAACTACTGTTGAGCACCGAACGCATTCGATCGTCATTAATTACTGTATAGCCTACATTCGGTGATAACTGATACAACATGCAAATGCAATCTTCCAGATTCTGCATGATCGCTCGGTCAAACACCGGTGTCTCCGTCAGATCGAAATGCAACTTCAAGAATACAGTATAAAGTGGGGCACAATGTGCAGCTACTCGTAGACGAAACATCAAGAGGAACGTCTTCGCCATCTAAGTATAAAAAAAATACAAACTGAGATTAATATGTTCTATTTATTTCATATTGGGGGAATTATCATGTTTTAAGATTATACCTCCAATGTCGCCTTTAACGTCCTTAAATCTGTGTGATGTTCGCAGTACTCGGTAAGTATGCGAATGAGCGCTCCGCACCATTTGGCACAGCCTATATTTGTAATGAGTTGAGGTAAACTCAACATATATACATGCCGTAATTCAATGTTCTGCTCAAATTCCATGTTTTCTATCAAAGTTGAGAGAACTTCATCACGTGTTGTCCACTGCAAAAGTGAAAATTATAATTTCAAGACTGAATCATGATTTCTGATAATTTTGTGAGTAGCATTACCTCAAATAGATTTATAGTATTATTCCAATGTTCCATAGTAACTAAAAGACTGGCCATGCAAGAATACAAAGGAATAATGTATTTTGCTTCCTTTTGATGAGTTAAAAGTTGCAAGGCGTGATAAATCAGTTTAGCATAACCAGAATCTATCAGTCCTTTTTTCTAAAATATTTGTTAAGTGAATACATATTAATTACATATACATATAAAATATAGTATATCAAGATATACTATATGTGCACGAGAATAAACTCTATATATATAAATATATACCATATAAGAATGCTGAATAATCTGATAAATACATTCCAGACCTATTAATACATTATCAGGAAAATAGTCATCAAGAATAATTAATGCAGTAGGCAAGACATCTCCGATATAATTAAATAAAACTGGTTTCTGTTAAAGAAAAAAATATATATAGTCAAAATGGTATGTGTATGTATATATATAAACGTCGAAATGTTTATACGAATATTAAATATTCTTTATATTGTAACTGGCTCGTAGCCCTTCTTTTATTTATTGATTTATTCTGATTGAGTCATATTAATAATTTATATTACTAAATGTCCTATTTTATATATTTTATATATATACACATATATATAATATATAAAACACACATCAAATAATAGGGAATAACCGATATGTTTTACTGGATACTGTAATCTGACCGAATACTCCGACAATTTATGTAATGTTATTTGTGTTTACATTGAAAATGATCCGATCGGCATCGAAATGTTTGTACGAATATTAAATATTCTTTATATTGTAACTGGCTCGTAGTCCTTCTTTTATTTATTGAGGATGTTTAGTATTTTGTAACAAAATTTTCTGTGAGAATTCCCTGTTCAAGATATTTTTATTCAAAATTCCATGAGACGAGACTATAACATTTTTTGTAATTGAAATCAACAAAACAACATAAGAAAAACTCATCACAGTATAAAATGAGCTACTCAATATTTTCTTTTTTGTTATCCTCATTTTTTTTATAAAACTTTGCGAGAATATACATGAATATATATGTCATACTTATTAATCAATTGTCAATATTTTGCATTTTTTTGCATAAAGGAAAAAACAATTAAAGAAACAATGTTTTCAAATAACGACAGAATTTAAATTTAAAAATGAAATTCCAAAAATTTTCCTGATTCCCAATAAAACTTGATAAAAATCCCTTATTTTCAAAGGTAAAAAAGACATCTGAAAAAATTCCAGAGTCTTCCAGATAATAAACTGTATAAGATCTAAATAAAATTGGACTTACTTCTGCCTCTTGTAAAAACCATCTGTAACATGCTACAGCTGATGGATAAGTCTTCCAGGTATCTTTTAATAATTTAGGTCTTAACATTAGCAACAAGTTGCGCAAATTCTCATTCTCTGACAAAAATTGGGAAATGCTTTGGCAGGGGTACAGGTCACAAAAACTAGCGAGTAATTCTTTGGAAATAGAAACACACTCGGCTGTGTTCCAAATATTTTTTTCACTATGTTCTCCAATGAGCAACAGTAGATTCATACCAAACGTTCTAACCATCCCTGTGACATTGCTCAGCTGAAAGCGTTTTTCTCTGGAACTGCTAGAAATATGTTGCAACATAGACCTGACGTTATGCAAGTTTCTTTCTACAACAAGTCTATATTCTCTGAAATCTTTCTCCTCGCACGGACGTTCTGCCCCGACTGTTCTTTGTGATACAAAACTCTTCTGAATCAAGTCTATGCATGGTGCCCACGAAGAATTATCCTCAAAGAAATCACCCCTAATTTTCAAAGCCTCTAGCTCTTTCAACAGATTGTCCATTCTTGCGGATAACAAAACCAATCGAATGATATGTCCTTGCACTTCCGTAAGTCAACCTCTCTAGGCGTATTTTAAGCGGATATTATTTTGTGAGCCACTTTTCAGAACAATCGACTGCCTCGACCATTTGGAGACCATTCTGCCGGGCAAGACTCAAAACTCTCGAGCTGTTGTTAATTGCCAAGTTGGCTGATCTGCGAACAGTGGATGGACCATCTTAAGTCCCATGATGATCGGATTTCGATGCAGATTCCGCGAGAACGATCCTCTGACCAGGGAATCGCGACGATCTCGGCGTGAGAATGCGTTTCCGCGTATACGTTGTCGAAAAAATCGTACTTACCGAAACTGCAACCGGCAACGGATATCCGTCGATCGGTCGCTCACGACGAATGCAACGCGATGAAGTTAGAACGGACGTGGACGCAGAACACGAGCGGACGGACACGATTGTCGCATCGGACTCGAGCTGCGAACCGGAGACACTCACGGGAACACGGGAGAATCCATATCCTCCGTAAAACCACGTAAAATACCTATAGTACACTCAAGTACACTGAAATGTGCAGCGTTCGGACATCGAGCCAAAATCATGATGTATTTATGATATAAGTGGCGTTACGTTTGTAATTCGCACGATATCTCGCGAGCGTCACAATCGATTCATTCAATCACTCCGCGATCGATATATCCAGTCACGTGACCGCAGTCCTCGTTCGAGATCCGTAGAATTTCACGCGTTAAAATTTAGTTTTAATTTAGAATATAATATTAATTTTTTTGGATCACGACAAATATACATTTAGATGTTGCGATCAATCCAGGACAAACGCGCAGATTGCAGCTGCAAAAAAGAACTGACTCGACGATATCGATTGTATCGCGACTGTGCGATGCATCGCAGCGACTCGATTGTGCATCACTGTACATATATCGCTCGCGCGCGCACGTGTCGCGGCCATTTTATACTGTTTTATTACCTCCGTACGCTCTTTTTACATGAATTTCGGGAGCTCGGTAATTATGAATTAATGAGGCTGCTAGTAGCTGGTAGTTGCAAATAATGGCTGAGTACCGTTAGTTGATTTTCTACTTCTTTTTTTTTAATCTCTAGATCGTTGTACGCACCGTCGTTGCGTCAATTGGGAATACTTTCCGTACATCAGGCGGTGTTGCGTGCATACGTGTGTGCGTGCGTGCATGTGTCGGTCTGTCCATCTTGTTTCCTATTTCCCTTTAGAGTCAGACGCCGCCCCTGTCACAATCTAATTTTTCATCCTCTCAACTATCTCTTGCTTCGTGAGAAAGGTGCACAAGTATGTTCTCATTGTTAGAAATTAACGTATCTTCCAGTCTCGCATTGGAAACGATTGCAGTGATCCTACTTTGCGAGAATAGACCAACTATTTGGAGCTATAAAACTGTCATTAACTATACTTTTGATTTTGTGATCGCTTTACTTTTATATTTTATTCTTGTAATACATTGTGCTTTACGAGACTAATTTAATTTTTACTTATGGTGTTCTTCCACATGTAATATTTGTATATTTTTTGTTCCTCTTTCCTTTAAGAAGGATCAGGATCTTATTGCGTGTCATCAGGAGTGGGTAGTGATTCCGAAGTCATGGCAGAATTAGCGGCACTCCTGCGACATGAGATTCCTGAGGGTAGGAACAATCTGGCCGACAGCCACACGAATCTGGAGAGAGTGGCAGAATATTGCGAAGCCAATTATTTCCAAGCAGAAAACAAGAGGATTGCACTGGAGGAAACGAAGAATTATACCACACAGTCCTTAGCCAGTGTTGCGTATCAAATAAACACATTGGCGTACAATTTTCTTCAACTGCTAGACCTACAGACGTCCCAGCTCGCCGAGATGGAAAGCCAAATGAATCACATCGCACAGACAGTCATGATTCACAAGGAAAAGGTAGCCAGAAGGGAAATAGGCGTCTTGACGGCCAATAAGATGACAACTCGCCAGTACAAAATCATCGCTCCTGCCAATCCTGAGAAACCGATTAAGTATGTCAGGAAGAGCATTGATTATACGATCCTAGATGAAATTGGGCATGGTGTACGTAGCTGCGGTACGCCGCGAAGCAAACAGAGAGGAGGTAGTCAAGGCAGCGTTCAGAGTTTAGGAGCTACTTCCACAGGTTCAGGATTAGGTGCTGCGATAGTAGGACCCGCTCCTACCACCAAACCACCCACACCACCTCAAACAGTGAGAACTGGTAAGAGTTACATATGTACAAATATATATATTATACATACAGAATGTTTGGCAGTTGTTGCTACAAACAGAAAATTTTTTCTTGTCCTTGCATCATTTACGGAGAACGATCTGTAGTTGTATCAAACATTCTGTATGCACAGGGTGTCCCAGGAATGCTCTGGGATACCCTATGTAAGCGCTAAAAATTGTACGAGTGCTACACAAACTTGTAAAGGTGTACTTTTTCAGTTGCGGTTATAAAAAAATTAAAATCATTTCGCTAACGCAAAGGTATTTACTGCTTCTTGCTTGCATGTGTGTCTTTTCTTTCTTTTGGCTTCTAAATGTTATACTATTCTATCTGTCACATTCGATGTTACATGTGTAGTGTTAATCTTGTTAATACAGCGAATAATGATCCGCAACATTCTTTGTGTATAGGAACATTGAGTAAAGGATCGCGCGAATATAGGACTCCGCCAGCGGTAGCCCCACCTCAAGTTCCTAGCCACTATGCGCCCAACTATCCGCTCGGCCATCCTAGGCGAGATCGCCCGGGATATAGCACTCTACCATTGCATGCTCATAACACGTCCCACACAAGTCATAATACCAACCATAACGCGCATGCTAATACCATCAATCAGCACACTATGCCGCAAGTGGGAACGGTTCATCCTTTGCAGAATCATCCTCAAACGCCACCTCCAGCACCGCCCAGCGTTACCGCTGGTTATGTACAGGAGCAACATAACAGTATGCCTCGTAAGTAACAATACAATTAATAACGATATTGATAATGAAGCTGTATTCATACTAAAAATAATGAAGATATATTCATTTTAATTTCATGATTTGTTGTGAGATACTGATACTTTCTTTGCCATCTCAGCTCCACCTTCACCTTTGGTTGGGCTAGGCGATATGTCTGAATACACCGGCCACCACACCTTGCCGCACAGATTATCGCATCAGATTAGCCGTGGTAGCGGTGCGAATAGTCCACCCTTACCACCGCCTCCACCACCAGAACAGGAGGAACATCCGCAATTTGGCAGACCAACCCCATCTGGTGCTATAATGCCGATCGTGCCAGATGAGGAAGATCTGCCCGGATGGGTGCCAAAGAATTATATTGAGAAAGGTAGAATCTCATAATTCGTTTTTTCTGTCGTATTATTAAACATTTAATAAATTAATTAATATGTAAAATGGATAATGCAACAATAAGATGTATTATATTAGTGACACAATATGTAATAACGTAAAAATTTCAATTGCAGTGGTGGCTATTTATGATTATTACGCGGATAAAGAAGACGAGCTGAGCTTTCAAGAGAGTTCTGTGATCTATGTGCTCAAGAAAAATGATGACGGATGGTGGGAGGGAGTAATGGACGGTATAACTGGATTGTTCCCAGGAAATTACGTTGAACCATGCGTATAACTATATGCAATAATTGGCTATATCAAAATAATTAACGGAAGACTGCAATTTTTAAGCATTTATCATACATGTATGTATTATTAATCGCATTTATATTAATCACTAATATCTCGATTGTAAATGAAAATTATTCTTTATCTCACTTTTCGTTCAAATTTGTATAATTATAAGATTGTACAAAAAATGATCGAGGCTCATAAATACAAAAGACATGATTTTTGTCTTATAGATATTATTTTATAATTTATTGATAAATAAAGAATTTAAGCCATGTGTTATAACAGTAATGTGGGTGACAGCGTATATACGTACGTTAATTAACAATGATCTGCAAGGGATGCAGTGGACGGTGCAGAAATCGAAATATCACAAACTTCCTTCATGTATCATTGTAGATTTTGCATTCACTATTTAGAATATTCTCTTCTAATTTAAGTCTGATGTGCAAAGTGTTTTGTTTCCTGTTTCTTGCTTTTTACATCTTACCTTTTTTCCTCTTTGCAGTTGTTTTAATCAACAATCATGTGTTTCTTATCTCTTTCGAAATTCGTTAACTTTTATCTATCTCGAACGCGACCAGAAAATGAAGAAACAGGAGGTAAAAAGGCAAGAGATAAAAAATGATGAAAAAAACAAGAAGCAGAGCACAGATTAGGCTTTACTTTGTCCTCGATATGCAAGATATCTTGCCGTATTTATAATCGTGCAAAATGCCGAGTGATAAATAGCCGTCGCAATGTTACATTACATACAAGATAAAAATGTGTACGGTATTTGATTATCGAAAAAAAATTCAGTCGAGAACGAATTCTGAATCAAACATCAAAAAGCTAATTTTTATATTGTAAGAAAATGTATTTTTCTGCATCTTTAGTATTTCCTCGAATATAGATATTGAATTATATATACTATATATATATATATAGCAATGGAATTATATTCTATTATTTACGTACCCGTATATATGTACATACTGTATATGTAAGATCACATGTTGCAATAGACATCTTTTACCTCTGAATCCGTTTGCATTATTTGTACACTTATATCGGAGGTTATTAATAAAAAAAAATTTCAAATAACAGTTATCACATTTCACAAGGACATAAACAAGTTATTATTATCTTCTTCACAAACTTTATTAACATAAGATAAAACTAAGATGAGGAAAATGCGACCTTTTAATTTTCAATATCCAATAATGTGCATCGAAGATCGATTAACGTGGTATTTTATAAAGTTCTCTTTTTTTATGTATCACAAATATGGATTCTCATATACAAACAACTTTTTACGCGCGCATCATTGGTCAGTTTGAGATAAATTTCATCTTTTTTTTAGAATATTTTTTCTTTTTTTCTCTTTTTAGGAAAAACATACAAACATGGTTAGATACATTTTAAATAATTAAGACGAATCAATCGGCTGGTATCGGTAAAGTAGGAAAATACTCCTGCGCCTTTTTCGCGGCGGAATATTCCACATTGTAGACGGGATGGATCACTTCTACCTTATTCGTGAGCCTTCTTCCGATGATCGACTTTATTGGTGAGTTTTGCGCAATCGATAATCCACTAAGAACATAACATGTGTGGTATATGTCACGATTTCTGAAGAAAAGAAGAGAAAGTTATCACATGATTAACGCGATTAAAATTTGTTTATCCAGAAGACCGCCATGCGGATTCTGACAGCAAGTTAATATATACTCTTGTAAGGCCTCTTGGTTGAACAGCCAATGGTCGGAATTGTTAAACCCCTTTCCCTGCGTTGACAAAATAGCGGCGATCAATGGGAACGTCCCTCCTTGCCAGAAAGAATAGCACCCATCCACCAATTTGTTCGTACGTCCTTGGAAACCGCCTTCCAAACGCATCTGCTTATTTACAATCCACCTCTGTGGAATGGTAAGGATGTGAACATGAAAATCTTACTGTGATCGTAAAAAGGAATTTACCAACAACTCCGGTAAATGGCAAAGCTCTGTTCTTCCAAGCATTATGAGTGCCGCCAAAGCGCAATATGCATATCCACCATGAGCCTCCATTCCCGGACAACCGCCGAAACCACCCTCCCATGTTTGACATTTGGCTATCCACTCGGCGGTACCCTTGAACATATCCGGCGTGTACACGTTTGTCAACTTGGCGGCAGCAAGGGCACAATACGCCCCACGTATGTCTACCTCGCCGTTTTCGTGCATACAGAAAGAACCATCCTCTCCGCGTAAGGACGCTAGGAACCGTTTCAAGTTCTTTCTGAAATTATAATAATTTTAATTTTAATCCTTAGTACACACCTTAGTTTTCAGCACTCTTACTACATACGTTCGGTCATTCGTGTTGTGGATTAATTTTCATCATTTTTACAAGTATATAAAAATTATTAAACGATTTTTATGTATATTTTGACATCTTTAGAAAATATTTGTACAGTTGTATATTCATAACAAATTGTAGATAAATTGTTATAACTAATATAGTTAACAAAATAAGAGAAATGCACTGTTTCATGCAAAAATGTGAAACTCTGAACTAAAACTGAAATAAAAATGTTTAAAGGAAAAATATGGTTCAATTATCTTACAGTTCACATTCCAAACTACAAAAAAAAATAATTCAAGTGTCGGCTGTCCAAAATATTAGAATAACCTGAAAATGATGTTTTTTTTAATATGCATGAGTGGCTGTAAATTGAAGATATATTGCATTTACATTTTAAACAATGCATTTCATTATTGCAATTGTGTTAAAAAACTTAGAATTTATTAGGAATATGTTCTTTATAACACATTACAAACAACATAATATACACTACTCAACAAAACTAAGGGATCACTTGTTCCACCCTATAAAAATAGGCAAATTTCAAGATAGAACTTTGTCAAAAAACATCGAGATGTTTAAAACAACATTTTAAAGTTTGAAACCTCTACTTTTCAGACCGGTACTTACAAAAAACGGTCTTGTTGATATTTTGTGAAGTTACATAAACATATGCAGACGCATCCGATATCAAAATTTTTTACGAAATTTGCGAAGTGCCACGGCACGAATTAAAAATTGTACACAAATGCGCTTTACATCTTTCGAAAGAGTAAATCTTTACCTTCAATTTATTTTTGTATGAAGCTTCGTACGATTTTTTTTCACCGAGTTATTCAAGGTTGAAGCAAAAACGACCCTTTTTGCTTCGACGTTGAATAACTTAATGAAAAAAAATCGTACAGAAATCAATAAAAAGCAAATTAAAGGTAAAAATTCACTCTTTCGAAAACTGTAAACCGCATTTGTGCGCAATATTTAATTCGCGCCGTAAAATTTCGTAAATTTCGTACAAAATTTTGTAATTTGATGCATCTTCATTTATGTTTGTGTAATTTCATCAAATATCAGTAAGACGATATTCTAAAATACCGATCTAAACAATAGAGATTTCAAGCTTTAAAACGTTTTTTTAAACATCTCGATACGATGATTTTTAACGAAGTTATTCTATCTTGAGATTTGCCTGCTGCTTCTCAACAAAATTAAAGTTATTTAAAATCAGCGTTAAAAAAACCAAATTCAAATTTCACATATCTCCGCGAAGAATGGTCGCGAAGCGATATTCGAGAAAGCATTTTAAAGCCATAAGAAATTTCATTAATTGTAAATTAAGTTTAACACTTTCTCTTTAAAATGGTTTTTGACCATTACTACAATTTTTTTACTGAGTGATTTGATGTGAATAGTACATTTTCTAATCCTTTCTCTAAAAATTTCTAAAAATTTTGCCGCCGGTATAAACATTACCCGAGGTGTATCACGGAGAGGTTACGCGATCGGACTTACACTGCGTGCGTGCGTGCGTGCGTGC